GCTGAGTTCCTCACCTTTCTAGTTTTATATATTTATTTTTTTTTTTTTTTTGATAGACGTGCCCACCACCTATGTCTAGAGTGCAGTATTAGTGTATAGGCAGTAGCAGATCCAAGGGAATCCCCAGAGTCCTTTTAGGGCGTTTCAGGGCTTCCTTCAAGGACTATTACCCCTTTTCATGGTATTGGTTAGTCAAGCTGTTGGCGATCAGGAGGGTCTGTTATCGGGATGACCCCCCCCCTTCAGCTGTAGACTATGAATATATGTGTGAAGGAGCGGTCATCTGAATACCTTACCCACCTGAGTGTTTAAAGATGAAGAAGGCAAATGGGCATCAGTAAAATTACCAATCATATTGCCAACACCAAACTGTTAACAAGTGCTTTATCAGTTCTGTAATATTGCCACACCCCCATTATGACCATGACCACACTGCCCATCAGCAGGATGTGTAATCACATTTTAACATTACTTTAAATTGGCAGGTTTTTTAAAAACAATTTATTTGTAATTAACATTGTTCCAATATTTAGTGCCTGGACAAACAAATGCTCCATATTATGTTAATAATGTACAAATTATGGTAAAAAGATTGGACAGTCAATCTCTTGTGTCTACTGTATACATTGTACTTGTTGTCGTAGAGTGGGTGGTGCTCCCATGACTGGCCAGGTGAGATTGTCAGGCATCTTTAATTCAGTGTGTGGCCAATGACCTGCATACTGTTCCAAATCACACTCAACATACTTTACATGCATGAAGTATTAGATGCCAGACATCTGTGAATTTATTTTTTATACGCCTGTCAAATTTGACGGAAGTAGTATGGTATGAGGTTGTCTGGCCAGCCGGCGTAAACTTTTGTTTGTCTGGCAATCTCCTTCTACATTTTTCGACCAATCTCTTTGAAACTTGGTATACTTTGATTCAACAATTTTTCCAAAAGTTATTGCCCTTTGTGTTCATTTCAGTATTTGATTTTTTTGTCCAGAGATCTCGATCCTCCTACATTTTTTGACGGATTTCTTTGAAACTTAGTAGGCTAAATAATCATGATATGTTGATGTGTTTCCGTGATTTTTGCAAAAGTTATTGTTTCGCCCAGCGGTACTCATGTATTATATTTGATTGGAGAATTAATACCCGTCCATCCTGAGAATGCATTGGGTCACCTGCCTGATCATGTGAGTTTAACTTTCCTTCAAATTTTATCACATGCATTTTGGCTTCGATTTTTGAAAGAAAGAAAAAAGATAATTATAAATATGCTGATTAAGCAAATGTCCTAGATAGTCTATTATTGGGCAAGACTGTCGGTGAAGGTCAAAGTTTTAGTTAAGGACTTGGCACATGTAAATCCTTGGCCTCATATATATCCTCGTTTTTGATATATATGACAGATTATATATTGTAACTAACAGGTGCATTGTCGTTTTATGTAATATACTTCATTCCCTAATCAGTCACTTAGACTAAAGATTTACGTGCTCCGAGGTACAATACGAACATTATATAATCTGCTAAAGATGCCAGAATGGCAGGTTTCTCTTTCATGCACATGTTCACTCCTGTCACATCATTGTTTTCAAAGAGACAATTAACGAGGGTGTTTAGGTAAACAATACACAATAAATACCCTCTGTCCTCTATATCGTGTTGAGCGTAGTTACTGACAAGGTCGGTACTCTACGTAAATGTTTCCAGCTTGTCAACACTGCTGATGAGACTCTTGTCTTTATAGTAAGCTATACACGTCTTATACTCTTATCTGTAGAAATATTTATGTACCTTGGCTACTAATATTATAGGGTCCCTGTGTTTGATCTTCTAATGATCATGATGATATAACAAAAAGATGAAAGACAAGACTAAAAAATAAGAAACAAGTTTCTCCAATTTGTATAATATTTAATTATTCTAAATGTATCTAATTGAGAGTTAAGAGGGTTTTTTGGGGTTTTTTTTCATTAATTACTGTGTATTTTGGTAAAGAAAAATACCTGTTCATACATGCTGAGAAGTAGAAATGGATATGATAAGGTGATTTATATCTGAAGCACAAGTTCATCACATAATTATCGGAAAGTGATGGTGAGCACTCTATATCTGTACTCTGAAAGATATAATTACTTACAAACCAATATATGCCTTTGTAAGTTTTTAATGTTTGTGGCTCAGATTGATTTAAGTGATGCAGTGTTATATACATATTTTTGGAAAAGTTGCATCTCGTATACCGTCAATAAAACTGATGTAAACAGGTCTGGTACAATCTGCAGATCAACCTACTATAATAGCTATAAATAGCTTGGTGTCGCTAATTGCTAGAAACACCTATTTCAAAATGCATTTCCTGCCGAACGAAACATAGTTAGAAACCTTGTACACTGCAATATCTGATGAAATATATTTCTACTTGTGAGCATACATGTATCTGAATCGAACAAAGGCAGGGGAAGAATTGAACGAAAATCAAATGATGAAAATCAATGTAGAAATCAGTCAGGCATGACCATTTTGCAACCCAATAATCAATGACATTATTTTCAAAACATAATCTGCATCTATAGAGCATATATATCACTTTCACAAATTTTCAGTTGGTTGGATCGTTTACAGGAGTGGGCACCATTTTCTTATGATATCATCTTTGTATACAAATATATCTTCACTACAGTTGATTCTAGCTTTTGCGAAGTCGGAACATACTCAATTATATGTAGTTAACTGAGGAACAATATATAATGAAGGTACAATAATATAAATGAAATATAGGAAGAGATATATTTAGCGTATATATAGGGAGTCTGGATCTAGAGAAAAGGATGTTTTTAGCCTCTGGACTGTCTTTTCAATTTCGCTAATGCAGTGTTGTGTATATACCAGATCTACATAGATTGACGTTGCAGGGCTGGTATTGTGGTGGAGTATATATACTGGTACCTAGATTGATATATTGCCTGGCTATCTATAGCCCAAACACATCTGATCTTCATTATCGCCAAGGTGTACAAGACAGAACATGATATTCGCATTGACATAACTTGTCGTAAATACTTCGGTCATCCCTACAATCTATGGGATACAATTCTATTGGGCTCTAACATTGTGGTGCTAGTACATATAGGTGATTTTTGCAGATTTTTTTTCAAATAAATCCTAAACACCTTTTTAAAAATTTGGCGAGTCCAGTTACTTATGAGTTATTAGAGTGGGTCCTCAAAAAGTTGGAGTCCAACAGGAAAAGTGGAAGTCTGGGAATCAAATATCCGAGTCCCAAAAATATCTAATCTTGTTCATAAAAAAATATAAAACACTCTCACAGTATGTACTATTTATACCAACTGTACAATGACTCATATATATGTAATAATGTGATATTAAATTCTCAAATTACATATTTGTATAGTGAAATGATGTAAGGAGCCTAAGCTGGATGTGCTAAAAATAACATCATCATATTTACCCTGCAATAAGCCCAGTGGGCAAACTCATAACCTCTGTACTCAAAGTAGGTGGGAGGCCTATTACAGGACAATGAAATAGCATTTTGTTAGCACTTCTACTGAACTGCAATAAGTATGAGAGAGCTTATTACCAGGCATGGGCTAATTGATGGATAAATACCAGCCTATATAAGCTATAATTATATCACATTAATAAGCAACTTGTTTAAGTATGTCTGCTGCCATCCTTGAAGCTGTATTATAAAACTAGAGACATGTGTGCATCTTTATAATGTATTGATTCTAAAATGTCCTTTTTAATAGCACACTTTACTTTACACATTTTGGTCAAAGTACTGAAAATGGACAACCCTATCTACAAATGTACACATACTACACACTGAATGAACTAAGTGGTCACAGTCTAGTTGCAGTTGTGGTTTGACCACTGACTGGGTCACTGGCTGGTGCTCCCATGCCAGCTGGTACTAATTGTAAACAGTGGGATGTACTTAAGTACTGCATCAGATGTACTGATATTAGACAGAGACTTGGGATGTCTATCCCAGACCCTAGTATACAGTATCTTACATCTTGGTACATGTATCAATGTCAATCTCCACATGTACAGTGTACAGTGAAAAGGAGGGTGGTCCAGCAGTGTCCAGTGTAGTGCCAGCTCACCTGTCCCGGTCTGTTTTCAGGCTTCCTCAGTGGTCCTTCCTACTGAATTTTAGATTTGGGGTATATCTGATATATGTTTAAGATTTTGTACGCATAGGTACGTAGCTAGGCCAATTGTTGAGAACTGGGGGAATAAGCAACTATTTTGGGGGGTGAGAACCCCTCATTTAGTGGTTTCTGGGAACATTGCTTCCTTATACTCATGAACCATTTGGTAATTGTACTTATATTCAAAGTACAATCTTTCATTGTATATCAGCTGGCGCATTGTTTTATTACAGTGTATCTCAGCTGGTACATTGCATTGTATTATAACAGTGTATTGGGTACATTGAATTATAACAGTGTATCTGGTACTTTGTATTATAACAGTGTATCTGATACATTGTATTATATCAGTGTATCTGGTACATTGTATTATAACAGTGTATCTGGTACATTGTAATATAACAGTGTATATCTGGTACATTGTATTATAACAGTATATCTGGTACATTGTATAATAACAGTGTATCTGGTACACCCTGGTAAAATACTAGCCACTTCCTACCGTCTCACGGCTAGGGAGAATTTCTCTTTAGTTAATTCCGTAGAGCGTAATACTATTAAGCCAGAGGTCCCGGGTTTGACTCCTAGCAGATCTAGAGGCATTGAAAAAAGAATGATTTCTGTTACATTGTAATTTGTCATACTTTTGTTTGGCAGTGTTAGCACACCTACAAATCTAATACACAAATAGCCTCTTTTGTTTGGCAGTGTTAACACACCTACAATTGTAACACACAAATAGCCATTTTTGTTTGGCAGTGTTCGCCCACCTACAAATGTAACTCACAAATAGCCACTTTCCTTTTGGCAGTGTTAGCGCACCTACAAATGTAGTACACAAATAGCCACTTTTGTATGGCAGTGTTAGCACAGCTACAAATGTAATACCCAAATAGCCACTTCCTTTTGGCAGTGTTAGCAAACCTACAAATGTAACAGACAAATAGCCACTTTTGTATGGCAGTGTTAGCACTCCTTCAATTGTAACACACAAATAGCCTCTTCCTTTTGGCAGTGTTAGCGCACCTACAAATGTAGTACACAAATAGCCACTATTGTTTGGCAGTGTTAGAACACCTGCAAATATAAAACACAAATAGCCACTTCTGTTTGGCAGTGTTAGAACACCTGCAAATATAAAACACAAATAGCCACTTTTGTATGGCAGTGTTAGCACGCCTACAAAGGGAACACTCAAATAGCCACTTTTGTATGGCAGTGTTAGCACTCCTTCAATTGTAACACACAAATAACCACTTTTGTTTGGCAATGTTAGCACACCTACAAATCTAATACACAAATAGCCACTATTGTTTGGCAGTGTTAGGACACCTACAAATGTAACTCACAAATAGCCACTTTCCGTTTGGCAGTGTTAGAACACCTGCAAATATAAAACACAAATAGCCACTTTTGTATGGCAGTGTTAGCACAGCTACAAATGTAATACACAAATAGCCACTTTCGTTTGGCAGTCACACAAATGTATATACATTTTCTTTCCGGGGAAGATCATGTAAAGAACACATGATCAGAGCTAATGATGAGTCATAATTGATGGTGGTCTAATGAAGTCCTTCCTCAGAGGTCAGAGAACTTCTGAGAATATGAGGTCATTTGTGATATAACCAGACAGAAAAAAAGAATCCTTAGATATGACGATCAATGAATCAAAATTTAAGTGAGATTTATTTTCTTTTCAGAACATTTCCATGCTGCTTTTTTCTTCAAAATTGAACAAGTTTTTGACCTAGTTTACCTGAAATATCCCTCTCCCCTTTTTTCCCACCCCTTCACAGCAAATCTAGGTCTGCGAGATTCCAACCTAATTTCATGGCACTCCAGGGTTTAGCATGTATTGCTGGAGCTCAGATGATATATTGTGCATCAATTAGCGGTGCAAAGAGATAAAGAGTGGAATTCTGCTTAAGTCAAGGGATGATAGGTGTTTGATACATATACTGTGGTCCTAATTGAAGCCTTGATCATGTTGGTTTTTATTATTTGACGTATATCTTTCTTATACACTAAGTATCATATACATCTTGTACATGTATGTATATCTTTTCTGAAGTGAATTAGCCCCCAGAACATTGTGACGTACAGCATTGTGCTACACACCCTGCAGTGTTTTGCACTGTTTGTAGGAAATTACAGATTATCAAGAGCCATATTGCAGATCTCTGCCAAGATGTTCAAGGAAAGTACTATATACTCTAAATACGAGCTGTTGGTAATAATGCTGTGTTATATACAAGTGTCTTGTACATTACATATAGAATCTCCGAGGGAATGTGAAGGATAAACAACTACAGATGTACAAAGTACATGTCAGCTCCTTATATCCTGCAAAATCCTTGAGCTCTTCACATCTTAAAAGCTTCTAAGATATATTCACACCTCAGGATTCCTCGTAGGCCCCTTAGAAGGCACAGTAGTCTAGTGGTAGGATGCCAGGCTCGTGACTGAAGGGTTGCGGGTTCGAGTCGCGGCACTGCACTGTGTTGTATCTTTGAGCAAGATGCTTTACTCCACTTGTTCCAGTCTACTCAGCTGTAAATAAGTATGTGGTTGGGCAGTGCTAGAAAAATATAGATATTGGCTGGTTGCAAAGGCCCTATAACCAGGGATGATAATTTGTGAACCGCTTTGAGACTATCTACAAACTAGGTTGAACATAAAAATCTTGAGTTATTATAAATTAATTACACATCAAGATAGGAATCTGGCGGCCATATTGGATTGTACTTTATAACATGATCAATGTTGTAATACGATATTACTGTGTACCAGCTGGAGATTCCCCCCCTAGTTTATATAATTCACCATCACCTTTTTGTCGTCCGTATGCGTAATGAAGGCGATTTTGTCGTGACAGCTCACAGTTTTGACTGAGCAAAAGTTTTTCCGTATACAGAAGCTTTTACCAAAATAATGCAGTGTTTAAATATGGGTGTTCGTAAAATGTTTAAATATTTCAAATTGAATAATTTAAAAAAGAATTTAAAAGAAACCTCAGCAAGAGAAGAAATCAAGCTATATTGAGATGTACTTCAACACCCACCCACAACTTTTATAGTTTCAAGCTAATTAATGATATCTTTTGTCTCTTTTCACCGACGTATCTAGCCAGGCCCTGTTACAAAAAAGACTCCTTATCTTCGGACAAGATTTTTCCATAACTTTAGCAATATTTTCCCCAATGGGAAATTTTAAATTCCAGATAAAATTTTAGCTATGTTTTTTGGAGAACCAGTGCCAGAAAAGTTGCTAATTAAAGCTCCTTGCACCTTAAAATACCCAAAGCTATTAACACCTGTGAAATTCCTACATTGTACATGTTAGAATCTGGAACATAGATTATTAACATCGGATGACTGATAAATAATTCCACCCCAGCTATAGGGCTTTCTATGAGCACCTCACACCAAGGTGTCACAAAGTTCATCACAAGGAAGGGTTCCTGATGCTCCTCCTCTTGGGTCCCGGCTAAACTCTCCCACCTTACAATATGTTATGAGGCATCCAAATCTATAGTGTTGATATATATATTGGAAGTATGTATACAGACCTGTTTATTCTGGGATTTTTTGTATGCATATATATATATTTATATTCACAATCGCAAAGCAGATTTTTTTCGGGGGCAATCTATCCAAAATGACTGCATAATCACTTCCCCTGACCCCACCTCATCCTGGGCTGATGATCGATTATATTAAAACATTGATTGGTTTGCCCTTTCCGATTCCGATTATCCTTTACAAATTCCATATTCGATATATCAGAAAATTATTGAAATCAAGATGTCAAATGTATACAATGTAACGCTTTGAAAGTCATTTGATTGACAAAACTGCATAAAAGTTGCTTGAAATCCATTCATTATAAAAAACAAAACCTTATATTTACAACTCTTTTTGTTTATGTAACAGTAGTGTTTTCACTTCATTTGGGTATTCAGTCCTATAAAAGTATAAACTGATTATGCAAACGAACATCAGTCGGTTAACAACTTCCGATGACAAACCGATTTTCAGTTACGATTTTAAACTGATTGCCCATCGCTAGCAACAAATTGGATAATCTCTCTTCAGTAACAAGTTTGTTGAACAAATGTCAGGAGTCTCGCTAATTACAGATAATCTCTGCATTTTATGGCACAAACAACGTTTCTAATGTACGATGTTTATTTTTCTCTCTCGTTCATTTGCAGGGCTATGTGCGGCCCAAGAAGATGTAGACGAGGATGTAACAGTAGAAGAAAGTGTGGGCAAAAGTCGTGACGGCTCCAGAACTGACGATGAAGTCGTTCAAAGGTAAATACCAATTAAGTACAATAATGACAGTAAAAGAGCTTTCTATATCTTACTTTGTTGAAGTTTTCACCCCACTCAAAGACATGTTAAAAAAATGTACATGTGCTCATCCGGGATTGGTAAGAAATGTCTTCTACGTGGTATGTACAGTACATGTATTTGGAGTGTTGTCGTACATATTGTCAACCCGAGAAAACCATTGTCACCCGAGGCGAACGTGCAGCTCACAAGTTCTGGAACTTTTCGTGATTCCAATCATTTAAATTATGATACCAGATACAGGGGTTTCATTTGTAGCCAGTAGACAGTAAAAATACTCTCCTACTACATATATTTCACCAGTTACTTTCATGCATGCAACTTGAAATTTCAATGAAACCCCTGCGGATAAATATATGTACTGTACGTGTATACAATGTACCTGCAAGTTATCGTCCTGGACATTCCAAGGGCTACATGTACCCACTCTGTTACATACTCTAGACCTGCACCCCTGTAATATGTCATGACAAAATTATGCCACACAATAGGATTGATGTACATCAAAGGATCTAACTATCTTAGTTTGTATCATCCACAAGGTGACACATACAGATTTGTCATTACATATTTCAGGGGTGCAGAGAATGTAAGAGAGCATAACCCCAGGAATTTCGAGAATAACGTGTTATAGAAAATTACAATGCTAAATCTTGATGCATATATATACTGGTAGCTAAAAAAAATGTTTACCGATGGGTATATATTCTTTTAAAAACTAACAGATTTCGCTTGGCTTGCACACTTATCTTTAAGATATTGGGAGGGGGGGATGCAGAAAGAATATTTTGTATGATTTTGATGAAAGATGGTACAAAAATGATCAAACAGACCCTCATGGGTAGAAATTGGTCACAGATGTTTGTTGTGATAGAATTTGAAGCTGATCTTAACGTGAATGGACATCAAGATCTGTGAAGGGCTAAGAATCATTTAACCTTATGACCTTATGCTTGATTGTTGTTTCTAAAGCAGGAGAGCTCCCCTGCCTGCTGCCCTTTGCCCTGAAGCCTGATTTAGGATATAAATGTGTCTAAGCTATCAGGACATCATGACAGCATCTGTTTGCTGCTTGTCAGTTTCACTCAACTATCCACACCTCCTTCACAGTAATTTCACCCAACTAAGAGCGTCAAGAATTCTGGAGTAGTTGTGAAAAAGATCTAAGAATGTTTGTAATAAAGAAAAAAGACACCTACCACAACAGTTGAATACATACATCAAAGCTTATTTCTCATTCAGTTCATCAGCTGGTTGGTTAAGACTTTATGTATTTTCCAAAAAAAATCATAGAAGACCATTTTTTCCAAGACTTTTGCATATTCTTACATGTAAACAAAATAATCTTTATGTGTATATGGGAGCCTATTTTTGAGGCAGGTGCTAGCTTATCACTGTTTTATATGACTCTGTATTTCCTTTCTAAGGACTTGGCTGTATGGGCTAAGTATACATGTTGGTAATATACAGTATTTACCCCGGTATATACCAGTATATATAGTAGACACTGTTAGATGGTTGTTGAGGAAGATGATAATCTGATTCTCCATAACGTACGTCATCACCTTCTGTTTTATTTATTGAAAAGGGCTGTAATGTTACATGTAGGTGTACACTGTGTGTGTAAGAATAGGATCTGCCAGGCATTGCTCCAATGGGGGTGAGCTGGGGTCTGGTACAGGGATTCTCCATACTTTTCACAACAGGTGTACAGTCTGGTATTATCTGGTATAATCCCCTGGCCCAGTGGGTGACCAGCTGCTGGTCAGTAAGAAAGAGAAAACGGCTTGAATAATACCGGATTCTCCTGGCCATTCCTCCAGTACATTTTGTCTGCAAGTGAAAACTTGTTTCTACTTGCCAGAGACATCTTTGCAAGACAATCTATTTCATTTCTATCAAAACCCTTTTCAATTGACAAGAAAAAGGCCACTTTTTTTCTTTCTTTTTTTTCTGATAAACATTATTACGATATCTATGGATTGTATATTTATCGTATTTTGGAATCATCCATATATTTTGGTTTTTGGACAAATACTTTCAAAATTACTTTCTCCAAGGACTAGAATTCGAACATTTTGTTCTTTCCGATGTAGCACTTGAGTTTCATAATACAGTATAACCTTAATCAGCCTAATAAAATGTCTCGGTTAAATTACATCATGCATAAAGTCTTGGTATGATGGTTAGCACTAGAGTTGTAGAACATGCAGTGAAAGGCTGGGAGATTGATTCCACAGTAGTCAAGCTGTCTGCCACCTGTTTCTGGGGTAAATCACTTTACACATATTATTATTCATACCGGTATACCACTTCCCATTTTTACCGATTTCTACAGACCAAGTTGGACAAGGCTTATGATAAAGTACTGGCCCAAAGTTGAAATGTACACATGTACATGCCTTGGAATATAGCCGTTCATAGTATTAGCGTCATTTTACTGAAATCATATGGTTGCTGGACACACAAATATGATGTGTATATATATAGTGTATAGTAGAATATTGTTTATAATACGGTAATAAAAAAGAATAATATACAAAATTTATATAAAACATATTAGTACGTCCGGCATCTGTGACTGTTAAGTATTATTATTTTCTTGTCATTTATTTGGTTATCATTATGTCATTAAAAATAATATTTAATTTATATACAGCGGGGTAAGAATGGGATTCAAACCCTGGACTTCAAATTGATATACTATATCCCTCTAACCGATTTTCGCTACCTGGTCAACAGAAGTATCTTGGACAAGACGTACTACGTATACACTAATATCCAAACAGAAGTTTAGGGGGGTTACTGTATATAGGGGGAAATGGGACAGGGATCTTTAAAGCACAGACATTTTGAATCAAATCAAATTTTTACTTTCAATGCATAAAGGTGTCAACATTATATAAATGTACATGCTATAAATAGGTAAAATTATTTTGATAGGAGATTAATATGCATGAGGTAATTATATCTGTGGAAACCATAGGCTTGGAATCCTTGAAAACACATTACATTTATACATGTGTTGATGCTGTTTGAGGGAAACATGAATATTTATTTCCCTGAGATTAATAACATTTCCTGATGGCAAAGCCCCAGGGGAATTATATATGATTGATCAAAGGGAAACAAATGTTTATAATCTCAAGTACTTTGTTATATACATCTATACATGTACATATAATATATACCAAAATAGAAGACATTTATAAAAAGAATATTAACTAATATCAATAATGAAATTTTAGTCAGTGGAACAAAGTAAGACAATATGCAAGAAGTCTGATGGAGCAAGAACATAAAGGAAATTATATTTTGTGTATTGTTCTATTTTGTTATTGTGATATAGAAGTCAGTCAATAATGAATATACAGTTGTATTAGGCACCAGTAACTACAGACCTGTTTCAGGATTTTTAATTGACAAATAGATAGGTGTTTATTGATGTTGAGTATGTGAACTAATGGAGAGAATGGTTAGGTACTTATATACAGCTACATGTATACTGCAGGCTGAAGGAAAACCCATAAAACCCACACACTACAACCCAAAACAGCAGATTGACAAGTCAGTAATATATATAATTACCCCTGGAATAACACATGTGGCAGCCATTAGCGTCTCAACGGAAATCTATATTTCTCCCTCGTCCATCATCAACTGAATGTATTTTTAACAGTACATTTATTTCTTGACACTTGACTATTATTGTGAATTTGGTGCATTACTCTGTTACAACCTTAGAGATTGTCTATGGTATAGGTCACACATGTGTTTGTATGGCTAGCAAAAAAACGTGCAACACATGCAAGCATCTGCACGAAGCTGACACTGGGCTGGTTTTGATGATAGCTGGAGAATGTTTACCTGGCTTATTTATAGAATTGGTTCACATGTAAATGATAGAAGATGTATACGTATCAACCACAGAGACTGGCTATTACAAATACTGGCCAGGACAACATTGGCCTACCATCAGACACAACAATAGGTTATCCCCTTAGCCTTAATTCTTACTGATTAGTTAAGAAGTACTGCATTTTGGTGAATTGATTATACAAACAACTAGCCTTCGTACACAAACATTCAGACGCTTGCTTCTTTCTTTGATATAAATAGCTGACCTTCAGACACAACAACCTCTACAGACTACAGATTCTAGTCTGATAAAAACAGCTGACCTTCAGACACTTGGGTCCAAGTCTGATACAGTGACCTTCAGACACTTGGTTCCAAGTCTGATACAGTGACCTTCAGACACACCCCTATAGACTACAGATTCTAGTCTGATAAAAACAGCTGACCTTCAGACACTTGATTCCAAGTCTGATACAGTGACCTTCAGACACTTTGTTCCAAGTCTGATACAGTGACCTTCAGACACTTTGTTCCAAGTCTGATACAGTGACCTTCAGACACTTGGTTCCAAGTCTGATACAGTGACCTTCAGGCACAACGACCTCTATATACAGACTACAGTTTCTAGTCTAATACAAACAGCTGACCTTCAGACCCCGACCTTCAGACGCGTGGTTCCTAATTTGATATAAATAACTGACCTTCAGATGCCGACCTTCAAAGCAATTAGTTCCAAGTCTGATATGACAGCTTAAACCTTAAGACCCCGACCTTTTTAATTTAATGTGTTATCGTGAGCTACCCTCTAAATTCAAGTTTGATATATATATATATTAGTACATTGCCCTGCACATCTCCTTGTACCTAACCATCTTTCAATTCATTCAACCCTCCTTCTCGCCCATTTTTACTTTACAATTTTGAAAAGAGCTATGTAAACACACACATATAAAAGTACACTGTATTTCGCTACATTGAAAGTAGGGGTATACTTAGCCATCCCCTCCCAGCCATCCCCTCCCACCAACACCACCCCTCCCAACTCCCCCTGCCCCTACCATACCCACCCAACATACAAGCACCTAAGTGTTATAGCTCTACACCAGACTGAAGGTGTATGTTGGTGTAATGTGATGCCTGTCCATGTATGGTCACCAGTGCTGCACAGTTTGTATGTGTACTCACCCACACCACTGCAGTGTGTACACAGCAATCTGTTGTGGAGCCCCACCAACGTGTGTGGTGAGGATGTAAAGAGGATATACTACTCTGGAGCCCCGTGTAACATATATGTTACATGAAGACTGAGGGGTATCATTACACCTTAATCCATGAAGCTTACAAGTGTCAATAATTAATTAAAAACTCCTTTCTCCTTGAATCATTGTGTTAGAGTCCTAGTATGTGGCCTAAGGCTTGCTAGGGCGGAGGGCTGTAAAATGGTTAAAATATTTGACCTTGACCTACTGTCAAGGTCACAGTCATTAAATGTTTAATGGAAAATGTGCTATTGCTTCAGAAGCATGAGTCTAAACATGGGTTGTACCTGTGTTGAACCTATATGGATTGCTGGGGTAAAGTGTTATCAGTTTTAACAAACTGAATGACCTTGACTCACTTTTGAGGTCAGGGGTTAAAAACTGTTGAAAACTTCAGATGACTTTGTTAGAACCACTAGAACCATATTATTGTTTTAATGTGGAACAAACACTTGCTTAAATAGTTCCAGCTTGTTCAAATTAGGTCCAGGACTGAACATTAAATGTGAGATACCAACTCAATGAAAACTACAAATACTGGAGCAATTCTCTGTCATAAACAGTACAGTTGTCTTTGCTGCAAAAAAAATAAAATCTAGATATTTCACTTTGTGTTATTTACTATCAATTCAGAACTTGTTTTGATGATAATTGTGCACTTTGAATAAAAATCAGGAAAAAACAATTGATTAAAACACAGGGAAGTGTTATTGGCCTATGGGCCTTTTGTTTTGATAATATCTAGCCCTGATGCCATAAACAGTCTGAGGAAGAAGATAAAGAGCTATTGTTTATTACCTCAATATGTTAATAATTAGGTTAGAATGCACTTCACTTTATCACAAGGTCTTTTCGCTTTGAAAGCATTGCCTTGCTGCCATAAGTAATCCCGTGGTAGAAGTACTATTGATCCAACTATTCCGTAGATCTAGTAACAGAAACCATAAACTTTGTGTTCAATTTTTACCTCAGAACACTGACTGTAGATACCTACTATGCTCAACAAGGCTGAGCTTAAATATCATGTTTTCACAGATGTTGATGAGGGAGGGGGGAAGTAAGTGTGTTCGTTTAAATTGAATAACAGGTACATGTTCACGCGGATCTATAAATGTACAAATTATTCATTATATATATATATGCACAAGCAATGAAGGAAATTTGTCATCACTAGTATGGGTAATTACATCAAATGATTCAACTACACAAATTACCCTATTTACCATGTTTGGGGTCAAGTTTATACATTAAGATAAAAAAATAATAATGTTGCATTGTGAATGTCCTGTGTTCTTTTCAAATCTCAAGAAATATCCCAAGAAATATCAATTATATTAAAGGAAAATATTAGTACCTGGTGTTGGAGAGTATTTAGTTGTGTAGAGGATTTTCGTCTTACTCACTATTTATGTCAAGTCAAGGACCGGCAAATTGGATGTTTTTTTACAGACAGAAGTAGGCAGAGGTTCTGAGGATGAAGTAACATTGTTTGTTTTGTCTGCAGCGTTAAGCGTTCGTTTTCATTCTCCTATGTTACAAACCAGTGATATGAAGTCGAGAACAACTTATTATGTCAAATAAACTAAACAAATATTTGCAGTCATGTTGGGGTAAATTACATGTACTTTCATAGGTTTGTCACCCCTGTAAAAACAACTGCTTGTTTCTTTGGCCGACTGTCTGTTTGTGTCAGTTGCTTTATCGACCATCATACTACCTTTCAGACAGTAGATATTTACATCAATATCTTTTGCTGAAGCCAGAGTGGACAACAAAAACAATGTTTTTGTATGCATTACTGTCATATGTCTGCCGAAAGGATCCGTTTTTTCTAGTAGCTTATCATCCTTTGATACTCTTTATTTCTCAGCTGTCTCAAATTGCAATTATAAAAAGAATCAACACGGGAAATTAATATTAAACTCCAGCAAGTGCTTAGTTCCCATTGCACCTGTCAATCTTGAAAGTCCCATATATCTGGTCATAACCTGATATTCTTTTTACATTAATATCTGGTTATTATTAAAAGCAACATTTTCGGCTTCCTAAACATCAATAAATGTTGAAGAATCTTCCTATTTGCTAGCTTTGTTGAAGTTAATTGGTGTTAGTAATATGAGTAAACATCTTTAGAACCCCGGATATATCTTTGGTGATTAAAATAGCATGTATTGCTGCGATATGAAAGCAAAGTTTTGTCTCGTTGAAGCGTTGGGATACTTCTGAAATTTTCGAATAAGGTTTGGTAATATCTGGTCATGAGCTAAAATATCTGGTGTGACTTTCCAAAATTTGATCATCTAAAATATATGACCCATCTACCAGCTGTAAAGATCACTAAAACATATGTGTACAAATGTACCTTATTGTTTTACCTGTGTGGTACACTCCACAAATTAATACATCATTATATTGTCTATTTCAGAGAAGAAGAGGCTATACAATTAGATGGTTTGAACGTAGCGCAGATGAAAGAGCTCCGCGATAAGTCCGAGAAGCATCAGTTCCAGGCTGAAGTTAACAGAATGATGAAACTTATCATCAACTCTCTGTACAAGAACAAGGAGGTATATAAGATAAATTATACCGTTTCTGATATTGTCTAATAGTTTCCTTCTGTACATCTGCCATTGATGGATTGTGTTATATAAAAAATCTTCTGCTCGAATCAAAAGAAAGGCATCGGTTTTAACACTAGTGCCGTATTTAAGTAATAACTGTGTGATTTGTTTCCTGCCTTTTATTTTTGTTTAAAATAATTGCTTAACATTTGTATCTTGACTGAAGGGGGCGGTCGTAATTACTTCTATTCTTACATGTTAATTTAAGGAACACACATCCAACAAACGTTCCTTTGTTTGATCCAGTACTACGTACCTATATTAGATCATATGTCATTATTGCTACTACATGTATATATAAAAGATGTTTGACCTAAAATAGACAAAACTTTAGATATTGATTTCATCACCTCGCAAAAGTGTCCCTCTATATCTCAATGATTTTGATGTCACAAGACTTTCTAGGTTTAACTGGACATTTGTTGTTTTAAACTACATCTCTGTCCCTCATCAATAGCCCTGTGTACTAGACAAATTATTTTGTTACTGTTTACTAGTACTAGATCTAGGCTGTTAATTGTTTAAACATTTTGTAACAAACAAAAATTGAAAATTGTAAAAAAAAAAAGTTATTGATTAAATCCCTTTGAATAAGGAATAGGTAAAACATTGAGAATTGCACATTTATCATAATGGTTCCTGTTCTGAATATATCTGCAAAGAGTTCTCTAACTGAAATGTTTTCTGGAGAAAGAGCTAAGACGTAGTATTTTAGGTCTCTTTTTTTTTTAATGCATATTAACTTTTTATGTTGCAGATTTTCCTCAGGGAATTAATTTCCAATGCCTCTGATGCTTTGGACAAGATCCGATTCATGAGTCTCACTGACAAAGGAGCTATGTCTGCCACAGACGAGCTCAGTATCAAAATTAAGGTAAGTTCAGTTGTTTTATTCATCAGGTCTAATTATTTTTACCCTATGATTTTAAATTTGATTGTAAAATGTTCCTGTAAAGTTTCTTGAGTCATTTCTAATAGAATTTAAAATATGGTAGTGGATATGTTTGGATTAGACTGTTATCACTGTATTTCATAGAATACTGAGGTATTTTATTTGAGTCAGTAATTACTTATGGGTATATGTTACCATAATGGGAAGTGTATCTCTTTTACAAAAGAGTTCCCCCTTGGCAATCGTTTAAGAACTACAATTGAGCTTTAATTTATTAATCAAAAACAACTTTATCAAATTATTTAAAGGGAGATAACTCCAACACAAATTAAAGGTGTGATATGTAAGATACCATACAGCCTTAATACATCTGTAGGGTGTAGTAAGTTGCTGTAACTGAAGAACTTAGATAGTCTTACTGCCATTTCCCACCTCTTAAAACATACCTGAGAAGTGTATTGGTGTTTGTTGTGCTAGAAAGATGTTTGTAGCGATGCCAAACACCCACTTCCCATGTAATGTTTTGAGAGGAATTGTAGATATAAAATCTCAAAAACAGAAAGTGTTGTACGAGTGGGAGGGCTATGTATGTAAGAGCTAGTGACTATAAATAGAATGTGCCAGGTCATAGTCTGAATCCCATCTAGGTGTTATAAGTCAGTGTACCCAAAATGTTTCTCTGAAACAAATCCTGGTATTTAGCCAAGCTGCTATAGCTAGTGTCACAATAACATACCTTTGTTTTGTATAGTTTCGGTACCAGTGTTACTCTGCTGTTTTCTTTGTAACAGGAAATTGTTACAAAAAGTAATATTTAAGCAAAAACAGTATAAGAGAAAGGCATTTGAGTTTTGTTCTTTTTCCTTAATGTGAAAAAAGAATGAAAATATATTTAGAATTAGTTTATCTTTTAATGAATTAGGGAATGTTAAGGAGAGAGTTTTAAAACAACTCATCTATCTGGTGAAGTTGGTCTGCAATTTTAAGCATGCATATTACTTAATCGTCTAGTTTAATTTTCATTTGTATACTACATAAGTGGAAAATGTTCACATGTTTGTCTGCTCCTGTTTTTGTTTTGGTATGGTAAATTAGTGCGAAAAATGTCACATGCGATTATTCGTTTGTTGATTATATAATTATAGATATATTGAATGGATTAATTTCAGGACCATTGCCACATGCGAAAAAAATTCCACATTGCAATCAGTTTTAAAATTCACAACGTGAACATTTCCACACATAAAAATTTCTACTTTTACAGTCTATTTTTACTAGTGTTTGACCTTCAAATTTTACCTTTGACCTTGCAGATAGACAAGGACAATCATGTCCTCCATGTAACAGATACTGGTATCGGTATGACGAAAGCTGATCTTGTCAACAATCTCGGAACCATCGCTAAATCTGGTACTAGCGAGTTCTTAAAACACCTTGGGGATGCAAACTCCGCAACTGAGATGAGCGATCTCATTGGACAGTTCGGTGTTGGTTTCTACTCATCGTTCCTTGGTAAGTGTCACCTATACTCGGTTATCGTTTTAGATCAAAACCACAAAAAAAGCGATTGTTTAAAGTAATTTACAAGGTGTAGGTATGAAAAAGGAACTATTCATTTTTTAGTTGATCTGTACTGTAAGGCCAAGTGAAGTTATAAAGGTATGTATATATCCCGACATATTGTCAATTTTTTTACGTTTTGGATGTCTTAAAAATTGCGTACAGGCCTAGGCTACATAACTATCTGTAGGTCAAATTTGACATGATCCATAAATATACAAAATGTGACTTCAGATATGTTTATATGGTGTGGCTGCTTGTTAGTTTTTCAGGAGGCCTAGGAAAGGATGGTTTCAGTAAAATGTTCAGGAATCTTCTTCTGAAATGGCACAGCTTTGAGGATGTTGATGAAAATATTAATGCATTATTTACAGAGGGCAAATCGCTTACAAGAAATATTATCAAAATTACCAATTATAAGCCTTTCTCATAACTGAAAATATTTATCTCTTACATTATTTCAGGAAAATCTTTAATTAAATGTCATGGATATGATTTTGAATATTTTCTTTTTTACTTTTTAGTTGCTGATCGTATCATTGTTACTTCTAAACACAATGACGATGAGCAATACATTTGGGAGTCCGACTCCGAGTCTTTCTCCATAACCAAGGACCCCCGTGGCAACACACTGGCTCGTGGTACTACAGTCTCCCTTCACATGAAGGAGGAAGCCAACGATTACTTGGAGGAAGCCACTCTTAAGGAACTCATTCGTAAATACAGTCAGTTCATCAACTTCAACATCTACCTGTGGACCAGCAAGACGGAAGAGGTTGAGGAACCCCTTGATGAGGAGGAGACGAAGGACGAAGCTGCAGAGGAAGACAAAGATGAGGATGAGGATGAAGAAGGAAAAGTAGAAGAAGAAAAAGAAGACGAAAAGCCGAAGACAAAGAAAGTTTCGAAGACTGTGTGGGATTGGGAACTCATGAACAGTGTCAAGCCAATCTGGACCAGGAAGTGAGTAATGGGGAGCAGTCATTTGTTGGGGGAGAAGTCAGTAATTTGTAAGTTCATAATTTGAGAAAACCTTGTGTTACAGTAAAACTTGTATTCCTAGACCAGCATTGGGCAGCCATTTGACTGGGCTCTTATTGCAGGTGGTCTCCTAGTGACAGAAAGTCACTGATTTGAGGATTTTTAAAGATGGTCTCTTAACACAAGTGGTTTCTCAACCAGGTTTAACTGCATTTCAAGAACTTTCAATTAGATATTAGTTGTTTACAGTTGTTTAGGGAATCTTTATCAAAGTTCTGCATTATCACTTTATTTATTTGGTTTTGATCTCACTCTTTCGAAATTTCTAACATTTTAGCATCCAGTATTGCTGTCAAAACAGCATGTGTGGGGCATTAAATATAATATTTCTTGTGTTTAGCCTGCTTTTTTTGTAACCAAACAAATTCACATATGTTATTTTCTTCACTTCCAGATCTAGTGAAATCAGTGACGATGAATACACAGAATTTTACAAGTCTATCAGTAAGGATCAAGAAGAACCAATGGCCAAAGTCCACTTCACAGCCGAGGGAGAGGTCACCTTCAAGTCCATTCTCTATGTACCAAAGACCGCCACCCCAGACTTGTTCCAGAACTACGGCAAACACACCGACCACATCAAGGTAAGTAGGAACGCTGTCACATGATCGACTGGTCTGTCCGATAGCAGTACACACACAATGTTACCTTTTGGGGACTGGAACAATCACAATACAATCTGCCTGTCTATTAAACTCACTGACCTTCTTGATCAAGGGTAGTTCTCTGGTCCAATACTCCCACTACAGTAATATTGAAACAAAATTAAGGGGAGGCTACCTGTGATTTTAAATTCTTGAGTGTTTTGCCTGCAGAAGGACAGGATTATGTAAAAGGAAAATCCAAATGCATTTTTTTATGTAAATTGGCACCAAAAAATTGGGATTCTATTTATACGATTTTTATATGATAATGTTTTAATTTTGAAAAAAAATCTTTTAGAAAATTTGCTATGTTAAAATTAAGTTATATGGCTCCTGGTATTAACATGTGATAAACGCTTGTTTTACAGATGTATGTGAGGAGAGTGTTCATCACCGACGACTTCGCGGACATGATGCCAAAATATTTATCTTTTGTTAAGGGTGTGGTAAGTACAGTAACATTTATATACACACCTGGGGTAATACTGGAAACAAATTTCACTATATATATTTGCATCTAAATTCACATTATGAAATTGTCACAATTATCACATCAGACAAATGTTGCAAGTCCCTTTCTTGAGTTGAGATCCACAACGAAAAACATCCTGGCCAAATACAAATAAGTATTTGTGAATATTTACAATAGTTTATTTATACCTCCTAGTTCAATGTTAGGATGTATCTTGACAATTCTACAGCTTGAATCCTTCACATTATCCTCTGGCTTCCCCAACAACCATCTTAAACCTCCAGCAGATTTAGAGATGACATTACAGTATATCTTGAATTTGAGAATAAATTGTATTGGAGAGATGAACAGAATTTTTGTTACAAATATATTGGTGAAGGGACAGTCAAACCTCTACAAACTGAATGTCATGTAGCATTGTCCTACCGTAATTGGAAAGATAATGGGATCTCTGAAATTGCCTCCCATCCCTCCATTAAGTTAATACAAGCATAGCCCCTTAGATTTGTCTTTGAATGCGACTGTCTGACATCGATTACATTTTTGACTGTTACTACTTGACAGGTTGACTCCGACGACCTTCCACTGAACGTATCCCGTGAGACTCTGCAGCAGCACAAACTGCTCAAGGTCATCAAGAAGAAGCTGGTCAGGAAGACGCTCGACATGCTCAAGAAAATCGACAAAGATGACTACGAAAAGTTCTGGAAAGAGTACAGCACCAGGTTTGTTGACATTGCTCAGAAGTGTTGTCAATACGACTTAATGATTTCCTGCAAATACGTTGAACTTAAATAATGAAAGTGAGTTTCCAAGAATTTAATGTCATTTTGGTTCCCCCGTTTATATATGCATCACATATTTATGTACAACAAAACAGGAAATGGTAGCTGTTTTCATTAAAAATATTAAGATTAATAGTTTTTGTAATTGAACTGTGAATTTCATATGCACTTTTTCATTTTGATTTGTTTTCACAATTTTAATAAAAACTTTTTTTAATGCTTTCATTTTGTGTTTGTAGCATCAAGCTAGGAGTAATTGAAGACCACTCCAACAGGACCCGTCTGGCCAAGCTTCTCAGATTCTCCTCCTCCAACTCGGACACTGAACTCACCAGCTTGGCTGATTACTTAGAGAGGATGAAGGACAAACAGGAAACCATTTACTTTATGGCAGGATCTAGCAGGAAAGAGGTGAGACAAATCTAGTCCAGTCTTTGTAACCCGTCATCCTGGAAGGCAGATAAAATAGAATCCCTGTCATGTTAAAGATGTTAAAAGCACAACAATTTTGCGATAAACAGGGTATTAGACCATGTGAAAGTTCACTAATCTGACACTATCAGGAACACTTTTGGTCAGTTTAGACAGATTGTCGGAATGCCCAGGTGTTTATTAGAAATGGGATTTCAACAGTATTTAATTAGACAAGATGTCGGAATACTTGCAAGTCAGATTAGACAGATATCAGTGTAAGTTATCATTAAAACACATAGTAATTAGCTGATATGTGAATAAAAAGGTTAACATGGTATTCTAGCTAGACAGATAATAAATTAATGAAAACTCTACAAACTATTGAGCCTGAAGCTGGGAGATGTAGAGCATTAACACTCAGCCAAGTTTTTTTTATCCCTGATGCGATGGTAGACTTGGATTTGACTCTAGACACGTAGGGATATTTGAATTGGACCTTAAGGTTATGAAAATGATTAAATAGAAATCGCTTATCTCCGAAAAAACCTATATAAAGTTCTGTATACTGGGAAACTTTGTTCTTTGAAACTTTCCCCCTTCACTGGAAAAGTCAATATTTTTGTTTAGTATTATTTTTGCCCTTGTGCCGACAATGTATTGTATACTGTTATGATAAATTCACCCTCATTACAGAGGGCGGCAAAGGCAAACATTAAACTGCAGCAAAAATATTCCAATATAATGTATTGGTCTATTTGTCGATTTATGTAATTCGTAGACAAAATTTAAAAAAGAAGTGGTTGGAGGAATGCTTATTGGAAGCAACATCATTCTTTTAAGACTCTATTTATTTATTTTTTGAGAGAGAGAGAGAGAATTTTTTATCTGATAGTGAAACTCATGAAACAGAAATGCGAAGTGCTTTACTTCATGAATGACTTATTTCATTTTTCCTTGAACAGCTTGAACAATCTCCATTTGTGGAACGTCTACTGAAGAAAGGGTACGAGGTCCTATACCTTGTCGAGCCTGTTGACGAGTACTGTATCCAGTCTTTGCCTGAATTTGATGGGAAGAAGTTCCAGAATGTCGCTAAGGAGGGTCTGAAACTTGACGGAGACAGCGAGAAGGCAAAGGAAAATAAAGAAGGCCTGCAGAAGGAGTACGAACCCTTGACCGCCTGGCTGAAGGACGAAGGACTCAAGGACTTGATCGAAAAGGCCACCGTCTCCGAGAGGTTGAGTCAGTCACCATGTGCACTCGTCGCTAGCCAGTACGGCTGGTCAGGAAACATGGAGAGGATCATGAAATCTCAGGCCTATGCCAAAGCCAAGGATCCAACGTCCGAGTAAGTTCAAAGATTATTGCAATTTAAATAATAATATTTTATTTTATCAAGTTTCATTTCTTACATAAGGTTTTCTTTTTTCATTTGTGACCAATATCTTTAGAATAAAAGCAGTTCCTATGTAGGTGTAAAGGATATGAAATTTGTACCCTAGGACACAGAATTTGGGCTTAGAAACCAGACTTTTGTGAAATGTTCATATCCTTATACCCGTGTCTAATTGTGTATTGATCAACGTTTCATCTCCCTTATTTTAATTTGCATTGATGTAAAAGGTGCATTGGAAGGCACTGAATAGGATGGTGATAGATGAGAAAAAGGGGGAAAGGTTTCTGCTCAATCTGTTATGTTCAGGAACTGCATTTACTATTCAAATAATGTTATAAAGTTTAACTTTGTTTCTGTTGTCTCATTACATGCATTTTCCAGGAGTTCTTTAAATCTTTAAAACAATGTTGTCAACAAAAATAATGTTACTGCCATCAGGTACTATGCCACACAGAAGAAGACCCTCGAGATCAACCCTGGCCATCCTCTAATTAAGGAACTGAAGACAAAGGTGGAGGCTGAGGACGCAGGAGCTAAAGATCTTGCCCTCATCTTATACGACACCGCCACCCTCCGCTCTGGATTTGTCATCAAGGACTCAGCAGATTTTGCCCAGAGAATCGAAGCAATGCTGCGAGCATCTATGGACATTCCAATGGATGCTAAGGTAATTGTCTGTGTAGAGACTTTTCTGAAATCATTCTGATTTTTCTGTTTACACTAAAAATTTCAAGTAACGACCATACTGAAAAGCCTTGTTATGCTGCCACCATTTTACCAGTGAGGTTTCGGCATTATAAAGGGATTTAGTAATGCATCAAGGCAGGCTAGTAAAAGAAAAAAAGGAAAGGGAGGACAAGAAATATTTTGGCAGTAAATAAGCAGGGTGGCAGTAAAACAAAGGGCATTATAATGAAGATTTACTGTATATTATATATAAACACCAAAACACCTGATGATATTGTATCTGATAGAATCCGTTAACCTGGCTTACCTCTTCAAAGCAAGGTCCTAGCTATTTCTCTGTAATTCTCTGGTAGCTGTGAAAAGTTGTAAACAGTAATTATGTTATGCTTCAATATACTAAATATCCCTTTATACTCCTTTCAGGTGGATGAGCTACCCGATTTTGAGGAGGAGGAAGCTGCGGCTGATGATGATGCCGAAGAAGTGAGCAGTGAGGATGCAGATCAGGTAAGGCATGCTCTGTAGTCTTGTCACTTCACAGTACAACACAACAGGGACCTTAGTCCCAACATACACCACAGAACAAGGAACCTTAGTCCTAACATACAGCACAGAACAAGGAACCTTAGTCCTAACATACAGCACAGAATAGGGACCTTAGTCCTAACAAACCACGACATCAGGATCATAGTCCCAACAAACACAACAGAATAAGGGACCTTGTCCTAACATACAGCACAGAACAGGGACCTTGGTCCCAGCATACAACACAACAGGGACCTTAGTCCAAACAAACACCACAGAATAGGGACCTTAGTCCTTATACACAGCACAGAATAGGGACATTAGTCCTAACATACAGCACAGAATAGGGACCTTAGTCCTAATACACAGCACAGATTAAGGGACCTTGGTCCAAACAAACACCAGGGCATAGGGATCAGAGTCCCAACCAACACAACAGAATAGGGACCTTTAATAAGTCCCAAAACACACAATACAATAGAAACTGTTGTGCCAACATACACAGTTTTGAACATAACGATGCGTGAATACAACCTGGAACTTCAACTGTGCATAACCATAACAAACTTTAAACAAATCTTGGAAACAAACTCTGCATTAAATAAACAAACATGGGGAATAGACTTTAGGTAAACAGGTCTGGGAAACAAACGGAAATAATCCGCTCCTAAGAAGATTCCATTTCAAATTATCAACAAATCTGCAGCCATTTTGCATGGTATTTTTACCTGTGAATTTGATGTGTGTGTTTTTTTATATTTCCATCTCCCATCATAAATGTACCATGCTGCTTTGCCTGTTCGATTTGTGTTTACTCTGAAAGTCCAATCTTTTGATTTGTGTTGGCCGTGAAGGTCAAAGGTTTATCAGATCACTGCATTTTGACTTTAAAAAAAAAAAGATGAAAAATTTCAAGATCTTTTAACATTCTTGCATGGTATTTAGAATAGAGATAAACAGTTTTTACGAGAAATGCATGTGAATGTGTAGAATTTGATAACAAATTTTGAGTCGGTGCACAAACTATGTTTGAGTGCATGCGACCTGTAATGTTTAAAGGGAAGTAATTTATACTAACCCTGATGTTCTGTTTGAGTGTAGGGAATCTGCTTTATCAGTGTGAATCAAACCAGGCAAAGATGTTACCATGGTGATGGGAGAGGAAATCATTATACACAGGCCGAACAAAATAAACCTGTCCCTCCTTCTTATGATTCATTTTGGACTCTTCTATATAGTTCCATTATGACATCAGAGGAAGGACAGGATATACCTCTAACTTAGTAACTATGGTTGTGCTTGAAATGGCAAGGAGATCAGAGATATGTTTTAATTCTTTATTTTAGAAAGAAAAATGGTTCTCAGTTGAGTGTAGAAGAGTGTTAGTCTTGTCATGTGATGGAAATCTGTTTCGAGCATTAATGTAACACTTCAGAAAAGAAGTCCTGAATAACAAACTTTCGGTATAAATGTAAACAGATTGTATGAAAAAGTTCTGCATTCTACAGGATTTAGGATGGTCCAAGGCACATAAACAGGTTTCCAGGGTCCTATCACACGTGGTGGTTTTACATACACACCATCACACACATATTCACAACTCCACAATTAGAAATGAACTTTACATACAAGCAAACAAGAATGACTTTCAAATTATACATTGTGCTGGAATATTATCTTATAAAATATATTGAATTGTCAATGAAATCTTTACACTAGACAGATCACAGGAATTCTGACAGAGCTCGACAATTTGTAATGAACAGTTTTAATTATTTTTGCGATGGCGTATTCTAGTTTCATATCGAAATATCAGTACTCCTTTAGTGAACTTCAAACCAACTGCTGTATAGTAGTGTAAGAGTCGTTTTCCTTATTCTACTAGTGTTACAGGTACGTAGGTGACACGAGCAGCCTCGACCGTTGGACCTGTGTGTAATGTGCTATTTCTCCTATCTCTCGTTTCAGAATGAAGAAGATGCTGAAGAAGACAAACACGACGAGTTGTAACCATAAGATCAATTAGAATAACTTATTATTTTTAACGTCAAAAAAACAACAAGATATTAAAAAGAAAGCGAAACAATTTGTCGTCAAGATTTGCAATAAGATATCTGACGACCGATTCTCACGATTGAGTGAATGTTTGTGTCTACATGGTCTGTGAACGAGAGTAACGATTGTACGAAAGTTTTACATTTGTCATTGTCCATAGGTGTGAATGAGATTTATTGTGAAAGAAATACGATCCTATTAGTGCAGGTTTTCTCTTTGAAAAAAATTGAATTCCAATCTTTAAAAGTATTTTTTTAACTACAAGTATTGAAGTGTTGTGAAGTAGAGAACCTTTCAGGCTTTCAGTCAGTCATTGGACGAACAGCACAACTTTTAACAAATCACATTCTTTAAGCTTCTTTGAATTGCTTTAACTCATAATATGATTGTGATAAAGTACTTAATGCCAAGTTGTTTGGTTGGCGTTGTCCTGCAGATTTGCTTGTTGTTTTCTTGAATGGGCACAATAAAATATTAAATGTGATTCCAGCAACTCACCTTGAACTATGCATCTTTGCATGTCGCTGTTATTAACATTTGTCTGAAAAATGGTTTACATTCTGATGCCATTGACAAGGTGTAACAGAGGTTGTTTTACATACAAATTGGAACCAATGAAATGTCATTCCAAGTTGAGAGATTACTGTGGGACTCTACAATCTAAAACTAATCGGTGTACAATTGATTGTGTTTCGAACCATCAGCTACGTTGTGCTAGCATTTTGTTTTTGAGTTATGGACCCTATATGGTCTTCAGGAATAATTAATGTTCACATTTTGTAATAAAATGTTTCTTTCTTTATGCATTGTTTTGTGTTGAATTTCACCCAGTTTTCGTAATTCCTGCATGTGTTTTTTGAGACATGAATATGCACATTTTTGAAAATAGATCATGTGGTCCCCTTTAACTAGTGTTTTTCGATGAGGGCTGGTCCCATTTTTATGAACCAATCTCGTTCACATACTTAACCCTTTCACCCCTATGCAACTTTAGTAGACTCTCCCATGCATTGGTCTGGATAAGTCCATTATGGTCTACAGTGGTGAAAGGGTTAAGTTGATTGCTCAAATCAATGTTCTTGTAACTTGCCACGATATTGCAAAAACAGGTACAAGCCTCCTCTGTCAATACACCTATAATATAATCAGTATAGGTGTATTGACAGACAAGGCTAGTACCTATGTTGCAACTTGATCAAAATGTAGCATTGTGATCATCTGCTTCATGTTTCAACCAAGTACCAACTCAAATTGTATTTCGAAATTTCAAAGAGTTCTTTCTCACTTAAACTTGAAATTGAGCTTGAGCTAAGAATCTTGAGTTTTGTATGTATATGGTTTGAAGTATAAGGGGCCCTGTGTTTGAGGTATAAGGGGCCCTGCATCCCGTTACATCAAGGATTCCATTACTTGGAACTTATCTGTCACTTTAATGTTAAGTTAAGGAGAAAGTTAATATGGTGATATTTTCATAAAATTGAAATCATTGAAAACATACTTTTAGATTCAAAATACTACAACAATAACATAAAATTACTCGGTTTGCGCACATGATTTTCAAAAGATTGCTTGTACTTATGAATTATAATACGACCAGATCCAGAGTTCTGGGAAGATTATAATACGACCAGATCCAGAGGTCTGGGAAGATTATAATACGACCAGATCCAGAGGTCTGGGAAGATTATAATACGACCAGATCCAGAGGTCTGGGAAGAGGATCATGGAAAAATGCAGACAAATCTAAACAATTGTTTAAAATTTTCATTGCTTTTCACTAAAAAAAAAGTAATAATGACCTAAGCCTAAAACAATACTACTTGTTCAGAAAATTAATTTCTCAGCAGTTCACTTCAACCTTGACCCTTGATCTGAAAATCAATGGAGATTCCTTCTAATAAGGTTCCTCCTCTCTCCATGGGCAATCATCCTGTGATTTTTCAAGCTATATTAGACTCCCAAACTATTTTCACAACGTTCATTGTGACCTTGACCGCTGACTCCAAGTGTTATTGATCAAAAACCAAAAGGTATCTACTGTACATATGGATGATTCCCTTATAACCCCATACGAGTTCATTAGGGAAACAAATTGTAGACAATACAAATATTCATCTACTGTGTAGGTGTTTAATTTTGTGGGGCTAATATTTGCGGTTGCCCAGATCAGAAGTAGTTCACAGAGCCAGTTAACTCATTCACCCCTGAAATGTCATAATGAACTGTTCCAAACTTTGAATTGGAATAATTCAAATGTGTTTTTAGGGGTGAATGAGTTTAATATATTACGCTCCAGAGGCTACTTTTGTATTTCATTTATTTTACAAGTGTTTTGCAGTAAAAGGATAAACATTCATGGGTATTAATGTCATGCTCTCCTTGGTGACCGTGAATATAGCGAAAATAAAAATGATAAACTAAACAGATGCATCATAAAAGGCCAACACGAAAGGCAGTTTCACACTAAAAAGAAATGGCCAAAGGAAAGATCTTAACAAAGAAAGGTTTTCACAAAAATCTGGTGACGAAATAATGCTCCGAGAATTGTCCTTGTATTGCATCTGTCGCCCTGTTAAATCCAGTACAACAGTCACCATTAGAGATAAGAAGAATTATGAGCACAGTTAAAAGATTAATCATTTTCTAGTATAGACTGACAGTCTGCAGCAACATCAGCAAACACTGGAGGTCATTTATTGCAAAATAGAAGGAGAAACTGGTAAATAAGACAATGTATTGACTTCTTCACAACAGAAACAATAATGTAAAGAAGAAACCAAATTCGGGTTAAATATCAATTAAAATCATTCACCCCTGAAGACACATTTGAGCTCTTCCAATTCAAAGGTTGGAATAGTTCATTACGAAATTTCAGGGGTGAATAAGTTAAACTTGGTCAAAATATGAATAAAGAAATATATTCACATAGCCATGCATACAAATATTGTCAACTGATTATGAAGAATTCTGTGGTCTTGAAATGGTTACAAGAGCTCCCTATCCTTGAAAAGATATACATTGCGTCCAAAATCGATTGCAAAACTGCCTGTATAATAAAAAAAAAAAAAAAGAGAACACCATAGATCAAACTCAAAATCGATAAAACTAGGGCAACATATGAACAAAGAACAGATTTACATGGAGACCCTTGAAAAGTACAAGGATAATACGAACAGGTGTTCCGGAAGGGTAAGCGTCTTCTGCTTCATCGACGACACCCGCCATGTAAATCTAGGTCAAATCCAAGTAATGTTAAAGCCTCGCGTCGAGAACTCTGGTAATCATGACAACAAAACCACAAGGCACTCTAATGAACATAATAAAAAAACATCGACCCGAGTTCCTGATGGCGACCAACCGGCATCTTTGAAAACCCTGTGTTGTAACTTTGTCTATCAGCAGTCGACATTTATCACATAAGTCTTGATATTTGGAGCAAGCGTACCGAATTAACTGCGACAAGTTAACGCCGTGGGTAAGGGAGCATGGATGTTACTAGCAATAAAGGGAAAGACAACACATCGTCGATTTTATTATCTTTATGTAACATTGAAGGAATTCGATGGGTTTCGGTCTGATTAATGTGTCCGTTGTTGGATGAAGTGTAATTAACTACTAAGTTACAGAAAAAAAGCACCCCATCGTTTGGTAAAATGCATGTATAACACATGTATTATATACACATTTGGTGTGTCTGTATGCACCAGGTGATCCTCGTACCAAAAAAAACGATAATACCGAAGTGTCAACAAACCCTTAACCCTTTCACCCCTATGTAACTTAAGTAAACTGTTCCATGCATTGATCTGGACGAGTTTATGGTAGTCTACAGTGGTGAAAGGGTTAATTCGAACTCAAAATCGATAAAACTAGGGCAAAATAAGAACACGGTAATATTTACATGGAGACCTTTGGAATGGTACGAGGAGAACAAGAGCAGGTTTTCAACCTCGATTATTCTTTAAAATTTGATTACATCATCATAATCCTTGCTGCGTGGAAGTCGTATTATCACTTTCTTGTATTTTCAACTTCCTACAATCATGGGATACATTTTTAATGTTGTGCCTTACACCTTTACTTAATCTATATGTATAGGGAGAGAAAAAATGTTCCATAGATACCAATAACGCATTACGGTTTCTATCTTTCAACTGCTTCAAAATAACAATAGCAAATTTTCGGGACCTCATTATATAGGAAGAGAAAATATTTCAAACCCAATTATTTATGCAAATGTCAAGAACTCCTAAACACAATCTGATTAAAATCATATCTTTGATTCCACTCCGATACTCTTACTCTACGTAGAGTACCGGAGTAGAATCAGATATCTGGTTTAAATCAGACTTACTTAATTAGTTGATCCAGTTCCTGTCTCTTTACTGCTATATTCGTGTAGTCACTTTTGGTTGATGTGGTACTTGTGTTGTCAATAGCTAAACTGTACATCCTGTCTTTCGCTTTCCAGAACTTGTCCAAACGGTTTGGACCACTTCCTCCGGCAACGAGTTCCAGTTGTTTACCATTCTCTGCGTAAATGAGTATTTCCTGACATCGAGCCTAAATCTTGACTTCTCCAATGAAAGCGTTTTACCTCTCATTCTTTTATTCTGGTTCACCCTTAATAGATCATTTACTCCATTCTTGTCACTTCAACAATGTCTCCTCTGTCCCTTCGATATTTTAATGATGGCAATTTCAGGTGTCTCATTCGTTCCTCGATCATACGTCATATCTTACGTACACATGTATGCTTGTCGTGTTGTTTTTTTTTATCTGACCATCATACCTTAATACCATTGTCCTGGTGATTATGAAGACGGTTTTTTGTTAAACAATTATGACTCGTGTGAAAGATCCAGAAAGCTGAAGGTCAAATGTCAATGCATCAGATGTAATTGTTCTGTAGAAAACAAATCATTTGAGGTTTGGTCCATATTAAATTTGATACCCGTTACCTTGAACGTCGGTGAAAAAAATTTCATATGAACAAACATGATATTTGTGCACCACAAAGCTACAGACCAAATTGTATAGTAACTCAATCCGCCTCATCGTTCTGAAGAAGTCTCGACACAAAGTTTGACGACAGATGCTGCCAGGTGAGCTAAACTCGAATGAGTAATTTATCAGTCAGTCTAACGGAGAACGCGGGTGCAATTTGCTAATAATGTCAGAACAAAATATATGTTTTGTAAATATATACACGTTGCTTAATATACCACAGTGTCAACCCATAAGAGCATTGATCATATTTGATACACACAGACACAAAGAAAACTCGCGCAATACCCGGAGGCAAAGCTAACCGATAAAATGTAACGTCGTCATCATAAACTGATTTTTAACATCTAGAATTCAGTGTCTGTCCCATGTAAATTGGTTTTTAAATTATTTGTGATCTTTACATTTTCCCTGATTGGACAGCAGACACCAAAACGTGGTAACCATGTGATGCAGCACACATGTGTTTATGTCCGTATTTTAATTTTCTTCTTGTGTAGACATTGTGGTATAAACTTTTTCTAGTGTATCCTGTAATACATGTTTTTTTCAGGAAGAAAACAGACGCATTGAACTTTTCTGAAAATGCAATTTACTGTTCGTAAATTGACCTAAAGACAAGTCTTAGGTTCCTTTATAGTGTTATCTATGTTTTGAAGCTATAGTTTTTGTTTCCTAATACAAGATCGATAGTAGTTTTTTAGGGAAATTTTCTCTCATGAATAAGTTTATTATGCACGCCAACTGAAATGGTCATGTCAGCAAGCAAACAGTTTGACACGAATCATTTAATGATGAATGTGTTGTTTTCAATATTTATCCTTTTAATTAAAGACACGCATGACCCACTTCAGCATGTTTTAAACTAAATTATGGTATTGGACTTGCTCCATGGACGTTTTCGTCTTTTTCAGTAAACGTTGCCCTTCTAACCGTCTATATAACACATCATCAAGTCACCTCCTTTTACTCATCAATCTTAAGTAACTCAAATTTCCGGAATGGAAAATTATTGTGGAAACCTTTCACTGCAGTTTCCGTCATTGTTCCAAAGTAGAAAGCATGTTTTTCTCCTGTAATAAGGTGTGTATTTTAAAAAAGATATGATGAAAATACCTTATTGTGATATTAGGCTTTGCGGTACTTTGATAATACTGCTCAAGAAGGGCAAAACCTCTTTATTCTGTAAACTGCTTGAAACACTTTAATTACATTGTTTTAGGATAGATGCATCCTATTGTGATGTAACATATTATCTTGAAAGAATAATGACTTTTGGAGTCCGAATAGTAAGGGCATTTGTAAAACGTTTACGTTATTTGTTTGGGGAAAACATCCTTTAAGTAAATCAAGTCTGAATAGAAGATCCCTATTTGAGGTCTGCATCACAAAAAAGTAGCATTGCAAAATATAATAAGTCACAATTAATTCTCTATGGAATTTTCAATAAGTTACTTTAACGTGTATGATCACAATTCAGTTCATGGATTTTTGGTATTGAATTGATTTTGTATTGCATACACTTGTGTAATGTTAAATGTTAACCGCTTTGATATAGCCATAGTCACATTGTGCACGTATTTGTACACATACACCAGAGTATATCAACGGGCTACATCTTAAAGTCTAAGCCTGAAAATTTAGTACGGGACTACGTTTGATAAATAATCTTTATCATGATTTCATTTCGTCAATCTCCCTTTTCGGATTAAGAAACAAACTCATTCAACCATTACCACTTTATGAATGGGGTTTTTTTTGGGGGGGGGGGGGGGGGGTAAATACACTGTTTTAAATAATAGGAAAACTTCTTCCTATAATCGATATCAATTTCAAATAGCACAACAAAGTGCACTGAATATAGTCTATATAACTAACAGTTGCCAAACAAATTCAACGTTTACCATAATAGGTTTGGTTTGGTTTAGTATTTGTTAACGTCCTATCAACAGCTATGGTCATTAAAGGACGGTTTACCATAATAAATCATATAGATGAGTGATATTATTTTTAGTAAAACTATGGATGGTATGAAGGTATGCTTTGTGAAACATATTTGCGCCATGAAGTTACAGCTTTGGCTTAAAAGGGACAGATTGCCTTTACACAATATTAATTACAACGTAAATATGGTTGATATTGTTATTTCAGGAAATGTGTACAAATTGCCATGGACGGAAATTATTGTGGTTTGGGCAGGACGAAGAGAAAGATAGTGATGGCGACGGTATACCGGATAGCAAAGATGACGACGATGACAACGATGGCATTCCAGATTCACAGGATAACGACGCCGATGGTGATGGAAAACCAGACAGCGAGGAGTATTGTGACAAAGATGGAGGATGCAAAGGGATGAAAGATTCAGATGGTGACGGTATTCCAGACCATTTAGATGACGATGATGATAATGATGGTATCCCTGATGACAAAGAGAAAGACACCGACGGTGACGGAATTCCGGATTATCTTGATGATGACGATGACGGCGATGGAATTCCAGATCACCTAGACGACGACGATGACGGAGATGGAATTCCTGATGACCAGGAAATTGACACAGATGGAGATGGTGTACCCGACTATTTAGATGATGACGACGATGGAGATGGAATACCAGATTATTTAGACGAAGATGACGATGGTGATGGAATACCCGATAATCTTGAAGATTCAGATGGCGATGGTATTCCTGATAGTATTGATGACGATGATGATAATGATGGTATCCCTGATGACAAAGAGAAAGACACCGACGGTGACGGAATTCCGGATTATCTTGATGATGATGACGATAATGATGGAATACCTGATCACTTAGACGACGACGATGACGGCGATGGTATTCCAGACGATCAAGAAGATAGTGATGGCGATGGTATCCCAGACCATTTAGACGATGATGATGATAATGATGGTATCCCTGATGACAAAGAGAAAGACACCGACGGTGACGGAATTCCGGATTATCTTGACGATGATGACGACAATGATGGAATTCCAGATCATTTGGATGACGACGATGACGGAGATGGTATCCCTGATAATCAAGAAGACAGCGATGGCGATGGTATCCCAGACTATTTAGACGATGATGATGATAATGATGGTATCCCTGATTACAAAGAAAAAGATACTGACGGTGACGGAATTCCGGATTATCTTGACGATGACGATGACGGCGATGGTATACCTGACCATTTGGATGACGACGATGATGGCGACGGCATTCCAGATAACCAGGAGGACAGTGATGGCGATGGTATCCCAGACCATTTAGACGATAATGATGGTATCCCTGATGACAAAGAGAAAGACACCGACGGTGACGGAATTCCGGATTATCTTGACGATGACGATGACGGCGATGGTATACCTGACCATTTGGATGACGACGATGATGACGACGGCATTCCAGATAACCAGGAGGACAGTGATGGCGATGGTATCCCAGACCATTTAGATGATGATGATGATAATGATTGTATCCCTGATGACAAAGAGAAAGACACCGACGGTGACGGAATTCCGGATTATTTTGATGATGATGACGATAATGATGGAATACCTGATCACTTAGATGACGACGATGACGGCGATGGTATTCCAGACGATCAATAAGATAGTGATGGCGATGGTATCCCAGACCATATAGACGATGATGATGATAATGATGGTATCCCTGACGACAAAGAGAAAGACACCGACGGTGACGGAATTCCGGATTATCTTGACGATGACGATGACGGCGATGGTATACCTGACCATTTGGATGACGACGATGATGGCGACGGCATTCCAGATAACCAGGAGGACAGTGATGGCGATGGTATCCCAGACCATTTAGATGATGATGATGATAATGATGGTATCCCTGATGACAAAGAAAAGGCCACCGGCGGTGACGGAATTCCGGATTATCTTGATGATGATGACGATAATGATGGAATACCTGATCACTTAGGCGACGACGATGACGGCGATGGTATTCCAGATGATCAAGAAGATAGTGATGGCGATGGTATCCCAGATCATTTAGACGATGATGATGATAATGATGGTAACCCTGATGACAAAGAGAAAGACACCGACGGGGACGGAATTCCGGATTATCTTGATGATGATGACGATAATGATGGAATACCTGATCATTTGGATGACGACGATGACGGAGATGGTATCCCTGATAATCAAGAAGACAGCGATGGAGATGGTATCCCAGACTATTTAGACGATGATGATGATAACGATGGTATCCCTGATTACAAAGAAAAAGATACTGACGGTGACGGAATTCCGGATTATCTTGATGATGATGACGATAATGATGGAATACCTGATCATTTGGATGACGACGATGACGGAGATGGTATCCCTGATAATCAAGAAGACAGCGATGGAGATGGTATCCCAGACTATTTAGACGATGATGATGATAATGATGGTATACCTGTTGACAAAGAGAAAGACCCCGACGGTGACGGAATTCCGGATTATCTTGACGATGATGACGATAATGATGGAATTCCAGATCACTTAGACGACGATGATGACGGTGACGGCATTCCAGACGACCAGGAGTATAGTGATGGCGATGGTATCCCAGACCATTTAGATGATGATGATGATAATGATGGTATCCCTGATGACAAAGAAAAGGACACAGATGGTGACGGTATTCCAGATTATCTTGATGATGACGACGATGGCGATGGCATACCTGATCACTTAGACGACGACGATGACGGCGATGGGATTCCAGACGATCAAGAAGATAGTGATGGCGATGGTATCCCAGACTATTTAGACGATGATGATGATAACGATGGTATCCCTGATTACAAAGAAAAAGATACTGACGGTGACGGAATTCCAGATTATCTTGATGACGACGATGACGGCGATGGAATTCCAGATCACTTAGACGACGACGATGATGGTGATGGAATTCCGGATAACCAAGAAGATAGTGATGGAGATGGCATTCCTGATTACCTTGATAACGATGATGACGGTAATGGTATTCCCGATGATCAGGAAAAGGATACAGATGGTGACGGAATTCCTGATTACCTGGATGATGACGACGATGGTGATGGAATACCTGACCATTTAGATGATGACGATGATGGTGATGGTATACCTGATGATAAGGAGAAGGATACAGATGGTGATGGCATACCTGATTACTTAGACGACGACGATGACGGCGACGGAATTCCTGACCATTTAGACAACGACGATGATGGCGACGGTATTCCTGACGACCAAGAAGACAGTGATGGCGATGGTATTCCAGATCATTTGGATGACGACGATGACGGTGATGGTATTCCCGACGACAAAGAAAGGGACACCGATGGCGATGGCATACCAGATTATCTAGATGACGACGATGACGGCGACGGTATCCCCGACCACCTAGACAAAGATGATGACGGAGATGGTATCCCAGATGATCAGGAAGATAGTGATGGCGATGGAATTCCAGATCATTTGGACGACGATGATGATAATGATGGCATACCTGACGACAAGGAAAAAGACACTGATGGAGATGGCATTCCAGATTATCTTGATGATGACGACGATAACGATGGTATTCCAGACGAACTGGATGACGATGACGATGGCGATGGTATACCTGACGACAAAGAAAAAGATACAGACGGCGATGGTATTCCTGACTATCTCGATGATGATGATGATAATGATGGTATTCCGGATCATTTAGATGATGATGATGACGGTGATGGTATCCCAGATGACAAAGAAGACAGTGATGGTGATGGCATTCCTGATATTCTCGATACAGATGATGATGGAGATGGTATCCCAGATGACCAGGAAATAGATACAGATGGAGATGGAATCCCTGACTATCTTGATGACGACGATGATGGTGACGGTATTCCTGATGATCAAGAAGACAGCGATGGAGATGGCATACCTGATCATTTGGACGATGACGATGACGGCGACGGGATTCCTGATGAAAAAGAAAAGGACACAGATGGTGATGGCATTCCTGATTATCTTGATGACGACGATGACGGTGACGGTATTCCTGACCACTTGGATGACGACGATGACGGAGATGGCATTCCCGATAATCAAGAAGACAGCGATGGCGATGGAATTCCGGATTATTTGGACGATGATGATGATAATGATGGCATTCCTGATTATAAAGAGAAAGACACAGATGGTGATGGAATCCCTGATTACTTAGACGATGATGACGATGGCGATGGCATTCCTGATCATTTGGATGATGACGATGACGGCGATGGTATACCAGATGATAAGGAAAAAGATACAGACGGCGATGGAATTCCTGATTACTTAGACGACGATGACGATGGCGATGGCATTCCTGATCATTTGGATGATGACGATGACGGCGATGGTATACCAGATGATAAGGAAAAAGATACAGATGGCGATGGAATTCCTGATTACCTTGATGACGATGATGACAACGATGGTATCCCTGATCACTTAGATTCCGATTCTGATGGAGATGGAATCCCAGATTTTATGGAGAAGGATACTGACGGTGATGGCGTAGCTGACTTTTTAGATTTTGATGACGACAATGATGGAATTCTAGATGCTTTTGACAACGACGATGACGGCGATGGTATTCCAGATGACGAAGAGGACAAAGATGGGGATGATATCCCAGACTTTAAAGACACAGATGCCGATGGTGATGGAAATGCAGATAAAATTCAGGATAGTGACGGAGATGGAATTCCTGACCATCTGGATACTGATGCTGATGGTGACGGCATTCCTGATAACCTGGCTGATGCAGATGGAGATGGCATCCCAGACATTCTAGACGATGACGACGACAATGATGGTGTTCCTGATGAATTAGACAAAGACGATGATAATGATGGCATTCCAGATGATAAAGAATCCAAACAATGTGATCAAAATGGATGTAAAGGAGTAAAGAAACCCGTAGATGACGAAGATGATGACGACGATGATGACAATGATGACGAAGATAAATCTCAACAGTCCTTATTTTCAAAATTAGTTAGTGCAGTATCAGACTTAATTTTATCAAACGATAATGAAGAGAAGAAGTCCGAAAGCGTTCGAAATTTGCCTAGCCCATCCAGAAAGAAAGACAACGGAAAATCTAAAGATCACGAACAAGAAATTGACTTATTAGATTTATTTTTTGGTGAAGAGGATGATAAAAAGGACAGTAATGAAAATGATTCCAATGAGAAGAAGCGACCAGTAGGAGCGTAACTATTAGCTTTCTAGTTAACATTTATATATAAATTAATTTATCAATTGTTAAATTATCGGAAATGAATTAAACAATGAATTAATTATCGCTAAAGTACTAAAGTATTCGGAATATGAATTTTGTATATACAATTAAAGTAATATACAGCTCATCGTAAAATGTCAGGGGAAAATATAGATATCTTTAATTAGAAAAGATATTCAAAACATTTTGATATATGCAAATACGAAAACATTCTGCATATCTGCTAGTTATGATGTGTTTAACTTATAAAAAGTAAAAACGATACACGTGTCTGCCGGAACACGATAAATCATGTATTTATAACGATATTTTGAACATACCTATAGTGACTGCTATGACACTATTTTTATATACAATATATATTACTATGGTAAATGTTAAATATTACATGTTTAACATGATCGTTGCGTTAAGTCATGTCATGTCTATTTCAACTCGGTTTCAGTAGAAACACAGAGAGCAAAATAACTACGTAAGATATAATTATATATTTAATAGAAGTAATTATCAGACTTCAAGTGGTACTCGAAAAAATGGAATCTCAATTATCTTAAAACTATTTTTTTAATTTGTACATCGAATAAATTGCCATCGCCGTAATCTAGGTCACGTGTTAATTATACATTACATTTTCAATCAAATGTGAGGGTGCTAACTTGTAATATTAATTTTTAACTTGAATTGATTCTTAGCCATATTACTTGACATCGTGTACATGTGTTCTCCATTTAGAAATTGTCAGGTATCTTGAGTTAACCCTCGTTCACGCTACGTAATATGCTTATTCTTCAAATATTTTATCCATAGTGTGACTAGAAAAAAATAATAGGAGTAATGGCAATCTAGCTTTGTCTCTTTAGCAGATATAGACATCAAAAATAGATTTAATGTAGCATTGTGTAGTTTTTATTTATGAAGTTAATATTTACCGTGCATTATATTCCTTATGTAGCCAAAATGCGATTCACTGTTGTCATACATTCCTCAGTACATCATTGGTGAGAGTTACCTACAGAGCCTGCTCGTTCGAATTACAAAATGTCTGTTTAACTTTCAGCACTAGCAATGAACATATCGAAAAGTGTCATTGAAGAGAGATACTGAAAATAATGAACTTTGTTAATATGTTATTCCTTCGATTTGCTGATCAGCTTTATAAATTGAAATATATTTTTCATGAAAAAAATACTCCTAAAACAATTATAAGCACAATTTAAGACAATGTTTACCGAAATTAATAATTTAGCATCCACAGAAAACATAATATACCTACATGTTGTACATTTAACGGTTCAATTGGTGGTGAATACCATTTTACGGGACAACGTTTAAAACTTGAGCTGTTGTTTATGTGATGGATGATATTGTTTATATTTACTCTAGCATAATATAGGCATATATATCATTATGATTTTGGGTTAATAGTTTTATTATATAAATATATAGCACCATATCATAACATATTGTTGCAGTTACCGCGATTAAAAATAAAAAGACATTATTGTTTACTGTAAACGTACTTATTTAAGCGCACTAAAACTTAAGCGCATTATTGAATTAGCGCTATAATGAATTGTCGTAGCCACAGTGTATATACACATAAAGATAATTAAGGAAACATTATCGTAATTAAGCGCAATAGTTATAGCCAAATCGCTTGAATAATATCACCGCTTAAATACGTACGTTTCCAGAATTCAAACCAAAATAGAAATGTGTGCATTTATTACGTCGATAGAATGAAAATATTTTACGATACTATTTTCACTTTTAACAACATGGTGTCTAGTCACTAGTATATATTCAGTCGTTTACTTTATTGTTGTATGGTATTCTGTGTATATAGTTTTAAGTGATGTATGTGTGTCATCCACTTTCATCCATATCGTATCATTTTTATGACAAAAACATAATATTTTAACATTGCTCAAAAGTATAGTCTTCCAAATACTGCTAGTATACTTACAAAAAGTGGACTTTGTTCTAGAATGCGTATTTTAAACTGACATCAGCTAGCTCAAACAAAACGTGGTTTTGTTCTAATTTGCTCAAAATCTATGCAAATATATTTCAAAATTTGTGCTTTTGCTTAGATTAAAAGGAAACTGTTGACATATCTATTTCGACGTTATCATGACTGGTTTGCTTACAAAAACATCCATATATCCCATTCATGTTTTCCTTAAAATATGTTTGACTGCATTTTTCACACAATGTTTTTATTTTTAGAGTTCAATCTTAAATAAATCAATCAATGAATAGCAAACATATTTTCAACTCACATGATCCGTACTTTCTTGCCAGATGATGTTTGTGTAATAGTTTAAATAGTTCTATTGAATGACGTTATGAAGATGTATGTAATGTATGATTATTTTTTTCGTGTATGATTTATGGAATTTTTCGATGTTTTGAGTTTCCTGTTGCACACTAGTGATCATTGTTATAAAATGTTTATATCATCACATTTATTTGTTTATTTCACTTTGTCAATGATTGCTTCCTTGTGAGTTCATATGTTATGTCCCAGCCAAAAACTGAAAACTTCCATCTCAGTGGTGAAATCCAGACGAATTTTAGGTCGTGTTTACAACCACCAAACGACACGGCTAAAACACTATAACACCAAAAGTCAAAACCATGCTTATTATTGAATACTTTAAAGTACATGTATATGTTGCGAAGCAGTTAACAATCTAGCAATGATTCAAATGAACAACATGGAAATCATTTGTTTTGATTTCTAAACATTTGTAGCAAAATACATAAAAAAAATACGAAAAAACGAATTTCAATCAGAATAAAGTACAATGTATAAAGAATGACTTTTTCCTGGTCTTAATCATATTTTTTCTCGAGTGTTAGATGACTTGAAACTTTACCAATCCATGAAAAAATTGACACGGAAATCATGACGCGTTTCATTGCGATTTTGTTAGATTCAGTAACTTAAAAGCAGGTGGAGGTACAGGACATTGTTATATTTAAATTAAATGTTTATGGAAAATATCATTGTTTGAATTTTTGCCTTTTATATCGTTGCTGCCAAAAGGATTCAAATATTCAACTATTAAAATGAAAATGTATCGCTGCATAAAAAGTCTCAAATCTTTGGAGGTTTATTAATTTGTAACAAAAGAATCAACGCGTTTTCTAAAAAAGCATAAAAAAAATCAATAAATTAAAAAAGACATGAGTACAATAATTTCGTATTAATTAAGAACCATTTATGTCATTAAAAAACCCTCTACACTTATCGTGAGTGATGGCAGCCGTTTCATGTGTCAATTTCTATCCTCTGTACATTCGTCAATAAATCACTGGGATGAATGATTTTACATGTGTTTATTATTTATCGATGTATTCATTTCTGATTATGACATATTACTGAAAAAAATGTCTCTTTTCCTGGAACCTTACTATCGCCGATTTGCTAAAATAGTAAATTTCATGAGAACTCTTCACGCGAATTTCATGTCTAGAAGCTAAGGAAAAAAAGAAAGCGCTATGGTAAGGTTAGATTAATCAAATTACTTATATTTTCGCGGGTTCTATTTTTCACGGAAAAAATGTTTTTGGAAAACCCGTATAAATTAGAATAGCGTGTTAAACCACATTTGCAAAATTACGGATCCACATTTATTAAAGTTTGGAAATAATTTCAGCCTGATGGTCTTGTATTAATAAGCTTACGAGTTTCAAAAGTGGAACAGCAATCTCATAATTACTTGCATTTTAATGGAAGAACAAGAGAAACATTAATTGTCCTCTACCAAATACATCAATTGTACTAGAACACTTGAAGTCTGGCCAACATGAGGTAGAAAATGGTGACGCTATGGAGAGGGAAAACATCAGAGAATCACATGGATCTTTGACCGAAAAATCTTAATATACAAAGATGTCTACCTCTTACAATGTACTACTTTAAAAGGACTGATGAAGTAATAAATAGTGCAGCTACGTGACAGAGCGGAAAGCATCATTAAATCAGACTTTAGTATTTGACTTTGACCTTGTTGTTCTGAAATAAATAAGTACCTACATTTTACCAAGTTTAATAAACTAAGTTGGGTAAAGATGATCTCGACCTTTTAACAAAATACCCCAAACAAGTTAGGTATGTACAACTTATAATTACTAGATACTAAATCATAAAGTGTGGCTCTAACATAAGAAATAGGGAAAGTCCTAGCCAATCAAAAACACGCAGGGCTAAGTATCATTTAACGTTTTAATGATGTTTGAAAACCAAACATTTGTAATTTAAAATACATTCCGATATGCTATCTAACAGTTTCAGAAATATGAATCTTCGAATTGCATTTTAATTGGGGAAAGCAAGCTGTGTGAAAAAAAAACATTTTAACATCCTCTAAACGTTTTAAGATATCGATTTTAGTGTACACCAACCAAATTTAAATGTTTAGATACTGAACTAATCGGAATTACTTAAGCTTAATAATATAAGTCATCAAACGATTATCATTATTTGTCAAAGGAAACTCGAGCTAGGATCCGGTGTTTCAATGCACCACAAGTCTGAACACATTCCAAAAAATGTCAACTGCAGAAGTGCATAGCCACTAGAAAATGTTTAATACCAGATGTACATTTTCTGTAGTCTTGTCAGACATGTTGACACCGCTTCCATGTTTGTTGAAGCCCGTGATGATTTTTATCATCTGCGCAAACAATATTATTCTTATCACAAGGATAGGATCAAAGTCATGCATGTGGTATCTAAATTGGAAATCTGGTATGACTTTTCGTCGTGGTCTGCTAGAATTTCGAAGAGAGATACTTGGAACGAAATGTTTGCATTGTCTCGGCAACCTGGATCATGGTCCGTTCGGTGATCAGCGTTTGATTGACCTCGCACAAAGAACAGAAACTTGGCGTGAAACATATCTTCAGCATTCCAAAAAGCCTTAGTTTGGAAGCCTTACCTCGAATTGCTAAAGAGCAAAATATATATTGAAACATTAAGGAGATTACGTTTAGTGTAAAAGCGTCAATGGCAACCTCATTTAGAATAACCAGTAACTAATTAATATCAAAGTTTTACTTTCTACACAATGTAGGTAGTAAACGTGTCGCAACGTTTCAAGACCGACTGGTCCCTTCGTCAAGCTATGACTTTGTGTAGAACGTCAAACTTTGATATCACATATTTTCAAACTGATGAATCTTATTGCAGATACAGCATCTAATTAGCCGATTGTACGTCGATAGTCCGGAGTTTTTGAAGAACGGTGCATGAAGGAGATCATTTCACTTGCATACCAATCTCCTTTGCTGATGAGGTAATTCATACATGTATATAACCGACTTGTTGCGATGGAACCATCGTTACAATAAAGCTCATAGAGCTACAGTGTTGTTGTTTTTTATACACATTTTTTGTTAACGTTGAATATATGTTTTGATTTTTTGTTGGTTAGGGTAGGACACGAGTACAAATTAGCTCATCATTGTATACCGTTCCAGAGGATATGTTGTTCAGTGCTAGAAAAGCCGCTTTGGCTCGATCGGACTAGAAAATGTTTGTGGCAGAACTAACTTTCCCTTGTACAACTAGAAAATTGGGAAGTGTTTGATAACTTCACTGAACAGTTTAACTTGTCCTGGGACACGATTGATAAAATACCGATTTGATTCGCTTGTATGTTGTTCACCATGAACTGGAAAAGATTGATCTTGGCGTTAAATTGAAAACAAGTTATCACCATGTTAGTTACGAGTGGCATATGTAATCTGCATGGTATCTCAATTGGTAGAGTAGTTCCGAGTCACAGGGTCGCTTTTTTTTAATTTGACGAATATTCTCTCAATCATTTGAAAATATTATTCCAAAATATACGTAGTCGGGCAACCTCGAAAATCCAGGGCTTTATCTAACTTTTGCTCTCTGCACCCCTGGAATGTGTCATAGCCAAACCGAACGCTTTGATGTACATCAAAAGATCGGGCGCGTAACGGTAAATTTGTCTGGCTTTGAAATTTGTTGTCGGTCCTCTGTAATCTTCAAAGGACATGGTTCAGCCTAGAGATTGGTCAGTGTTTTTTTTTTTTTACCCGAGACCAATCAAATAGATAGCAGCGTGCGTTCAATTTTGCTATGACATGTTCCAGTGGTGCAGAGAACAAAAGTTAGCGTAACCACTGGATTATCGACGATGAAAGCGGGGAAGAAGAGCGTGTGTTCAAAATTCATTAAAAAGATGATACAACTTTATATAAACTTTCATAAATTTAATAAATTTCAATTCATTTACAACAACAACAATACAAATATTGCTCGGCTGTCACTTTTGCTGTTTTACATTATGTTTTGGAAATATGTGGTACATCAACATACCAGACTAGAAGGGTTTAACATATCTATAACAAGATTAACAAAATATCAATAAACTCTATAAAAATAACACTCAACACCACATGTACCCTATAGCATAGCATGCACCTCCCATTAAAAACAGAGCCATAATTGTAAAACTCTATATTCTATTAATAACTGAAAATAGGAGACGCAAGTCCAGGGCCCGCTTATTTTTATTGCGATCCAAACGGTTGAACCGGTTGGACCAGAGTTGTTCGTTTATTAAATAAGGTCGAATATAGTAATCTAATGCTTCTTTCAAGGGAACCTTGACCAAGCCTTGCACAGCCTGAAAAAAACTTTTGCAGGTCCGCTAGGATTGATACCAAAAACACGGGCGTTTCTAGGATATTTGAAAGAGAGGGCGTAGAATTAAATCTTTTGCCGAGCAGAGCGAGGAAAAAAATAATTTGGACCTTTTTTTTGGCTAAAAAACATAAAATAATTGTTAACTGCACTAATGTGGGGGGGGGGGCGCGTACACCCATTACGCCTTCACCTGGACCCGCCCCTGAAAAATGTTACATTATCGAATAGGCCCAAAGTCATTATCAAGGGAGGTAAATCCAACACTTCTTGAAAATGATAGTAATCTGATTTGAGAGTACATGTACATATTTAATAGTAAATTAACACCTGTTTTAAAGGTAGTCAAAACAACATATTTCATGCAATAACAGGATGCAACAAACTCATGATTATAATTTCAGATTCATAAAGAGGATTTTTTTCCCCATTTTCCCTGTAATTAATGCTGATGGAAGACGTTATACATCTATTAGAATGATCACTAGAAGTACACTGAGAGGAAGCACCTATTTGAACATTTTGAAAAATAAATATTTCACTGCACCATATGGCCATATACAACAAGGAGGAACATTATTAACACATGGCGAAGTATTGCAAGGTAATCCGTAGTCCCCCACCAGTAATGATTTCTTACCGGGCTGTACTAGACCCCCACCGATAATGATTTCTTACTGAGCTGTACTAGTCCCCCACCGGTAATGATTTCTTACCGAGCTGTACTAGACCCCCACCGATAATGATTTCTTACCGAGCTGTACTAGTCCCCCACCGGTAATGATTTCTTACCGAGCTGTACTAGTTCCCCACCGGTAATGATTTCTTACCGAGCT